TGAAGTTGAAATCTGAATAACAATCTGTTTACAGGTGAGTTTTGGTGTTTTCTGGTCGTTGGTTGCCTTCCAGCTTTGATTCAAGGCCTAATCCTGGAAATATCCAATGGACACAAAGAAAAAAAAAATAAGAAACTCCCTATTTCTATTCAGAAAACTAAGGAAAGGAGCCGCTGTACACCAGAAGGTGTGGGAGAAATCCCTGAGTTTTCTTTCATTTATTTTTTCCTTGTCTCCCAGCACTGCCCCAAGGCCAGCCCTGGTCCCTGCCCCAGAACAGGACTGCCACCAACCGTGGCAACTGGGGCACTTAAAACTCAAAAGAAAACATCCTTCTACCAGAGGAACTGGGAAAAGGAATCTGTGTTATCTGCAAAGTATGGAAAGAATCCCCCTTTTCTTCTCTTTTCTTATCTCAGGGAACTCCTCTATAGTGAGAAGGCACCCTGCAAAAAACCTGTCCTTCTGGTCATATGAACCAGCAAGTCAGTATGGAGAGGGAAGGGGACATGACAATCCTGGAGAAGAGAGACAAAGAAATGAGAATCACCTAATTTTACATATGATCAAATATAAGTCTCAGGCACAACCCTGAGCTGTCCACATGTGAAGCAGACTCAAGGAAGCATAACGAAGGCTTAGAGAACTGAACTATGATGTTAATTAACGCCCAAGTCCCAGATTAATCCCCAGTGGTACAAGTGTCAGGCACGCTCAAATAACAGTAAGGGCTGATGTAGCCACCACACACAAAGGCAAAGCAGAATGTGCAGTCTGAACCTAATCAGGTTGACTGCCTGTCAAACCAAACAAAAATATCTAGAGAATTTTAACAGGAACAAGATTCCAAAACATAATATTAAAAATGTCCAGGATATAATCCAGAATTACTCAACATGTGAAGAACCCCCACCCAATGACACAGTTGTTGGAATTAAAAGACAAGACTTTAAAGCAGCTATTATAACCATCATCCATGAGATAAAGGTGAACACTCATCAAATGGATGGAAAAAAGATTAAAGTTCTCAGCAGAATAAAAACTATAAAAGAGAAACAAATGGAAATTTTAAAAGAAAAAATTATAATCTTTGAAATAAAAAATTCACCAGATGGGGTCAAAAACACAATGGAGATGACAAATGAAAGAGTAAGTGAACCTGAAGATACAGCATTACAAATTACATAACCTGAAGAACTGACAGACAAAAAATTGAAAGAAAAAAATGAATAGAGGCTCAGAGATCTGGGCGGTAGTATCACAAGGTCTGGAAAGGAGAAAAGGTTGGTACAGAAGAAAAATATTCAAAGAAATCATGACACAAAACTTACTAAAGTTGATGAAAGACATGAATTTCAAGCTTGATAAACCCTAAGCAGGAAAAACACAAAGAAAATCATGCCCAGACACATTATAATCAAACTGCTGAGAACCAAAGATAAGAAAAATTTGAAAGCAGTCAAAAAAGTTACATTACACAAGAGAATAGTGTTTCAAATGGAGGAAAGGAGGACTTGACTACAAAGGAGCAGCACAAGGGATTTTGCTGGGGTGATGGAACTGTTCTGGATCTTTTTTTTTTTTTTTTGAGACAGAGTCTCGCTTTGTTGCCCAGGCCAGAGTGAGTGCCATGGCGTCAGCCTAGCTCACAGCAACCTCAAACTCCTGGGCTCAAGTGATCCTGCTGCCTCAGCCTCCCAAGTAGCTGGGACTACAGGCATGCGCCACCATGCCTGGCTAATTTTTTCTATATATATCAGTTGGCCAATTAATTTCTTTCTATTTATAGTAGAGACAGGGTCTCACTCTTGCTCAGGCTGGTTTCGAACTCCTGACCTCGAGCAATCCACCCGCCTCGGGCCTCCCAGAGTGCTAGGATTACAGGCGTGAGCCACTGTGCCCGGCCTGTTCTGGATCTTGATCATGGTGGTTATAAGATTCCATGCATTTGTCAAAATGCTCCCAGTATACCAACAAGAGAAAATACTCATGTATATATTAATACATATAAAAGAACCAGAAACCTGGATATCATCCTTTATTGCTGTCCTCCCCTCACCCTTCATATGTAATCGACCACCATCTTCTATCAAATTTACTTTCTAAAGATTTCTCAAATTTGCCCTTTTCGCTCTATTCCCACTGCTTCTTCCTAGTTGAACCTTCATCATCTCAATCTGTTACTACTTGTTTCCAAACCTAACCTCTCCAGCCTTGCTTTGCAAAAGGTACCCCTGCTCTAATAGTACCAGCTGTAACCTGGAAGTTTCTTAGAAATGCAGAATCACATATCCCACCCCAGAACTCCTGAATTGGAATTCAGATTTCAATAGGATTCTGGAGTGATTCATAAGCAAATTAAAATTTGAAAGTCCTAGTCTAAGCTATGCCAGAGTGAATGAAAATCTAGTGATGATACTCTTCCACTTAAAACCTTACAAGCACCCTACCCGGACACACATAGGATGTATGAGACCTTACATGACTTCACCCTACCTTCCTCTCCAGGCTCATCTTTCACCACTATCCACCTCACATATCACATTTCAATAAGAGTTAACTGTTTGTATTAGGTTGGAGCAAAAGTAATCGCAGTTTTAGCATTGTTGAAATTTGCCATTTGATATTAGAATACATTCTTAAATCAATGTGGTTATGTTATACATAATTTTAATACACATTTCTCGCTTTTTTTTGCTAATGACTTATTACTTGCTGTTTATATTTATTTTAGACTATGGAAATTATGTTAGACAAAAAGCAAATTTGAGCAATTTTCTTTTTTTCTTTTTCTTTTTTTTTTTTTTGAGATAGGGTCTTGCTCTGTTGCCTGGACTGAGTACTGTGGCATCAGCCTATAGCATATAGCAACCTCAAACTCCTGGACTCAAGCAATCCTCCTCCCTCTGCCTCCCGAGTTAGCTGGGACTACAGGTGTGTACCACCACACCCGGCTAATTTTTTCTATTTTTAGTACAGACCGGGTCTCGCTCTTGCTCAGGCTGGTCTCCAACTCCTAAGCTGAAGGCATCCTCCTGCCTCGACCTCCCAGAGTGCTATGATTACAGGCGTGAGCCACTGCGCCCAGCCTTGAGCGATTTTCTTATTTGAGTTAAAAAATGGGTCATAAAATCTGTACCCCCATAATATGCCGAAAAAAAATAAAAATAAATTTTAAAAATGTTTCATAAAACAGCAGAGACAACTCACAACATCAACAATGCATTTGTCCCAGAAACTGCTAATGAATGTACAGTGCAATAGTGATTCAAGAAGTTTTGCAAAGACAAGAGACTTGAAGATGAGGAACAGAGTGGCCGTTGGAAGTCGACAACGATCCATTAAAAGCAATCATCGAAGCTGATCCTCTTACAACTACACCAGAAGTTGCCCAAGAACTCAACGTCAACCATTCTATGGTCTTTCAGCACTTGAAGCAAATTGGAAAGGTGAAAAAGTTTGATAAGTGGGTGCCTCATGAGCTGACCGAAAATCAAAAAAATCATCGTTTTGAAGGGTCTTCTTCTCTTATTGTATGCAACAACAATGAACCATTTCTCAACTGGATTGTGGCATGCAACTAAAAGTGGATTTTATATGACAACTGGCAATAACCAGCTCAGTGGCTGGACCAAGAAAAAGCTCCAAAGCACTTCCCAAAGCCAAACTTGCATCAAAAATGGTCACGGTCATTGTTTGGTGCTCTGCTGCCAGTCTGATCCACTACAGCTTTCTGAATCCCAGCAAAACCATTACATCTGAGAAGTATGCTCAGCAAATTGATGAGATGCATCGAAAGCTGCAATACCTGCAGCCAGCACTGGTCAACAGAAAGGGCCCAATTCTCCACAACGCCCCACGGCACATCACACAACGAACACTTCAAAAGTTGAACAAATTGGGCTACAAAGTTTTGCCTCATCTGCCATATTCACCTGACCTCTTGCCAACCAACTACCACTTCTTCAAGCATCTTGACAACTTTTTTGCAGGGAAAACCAGCAGGACACAGAAAATGCTTTCCAAGAGTTCGTGGAATACCAAAGTGTAGATTTTTACGCTACATGAATAAACAAACTTATTTCACATTGGCAAAAATGTGTTGATTATAATGGCTCCTATTTTGACTAATAAAGATGTATTTGAGCCTAGTTATAATGATTTAAAATTCACGGTCCAAAACTGCAATTACTTTTGCACCAACCTAATACACTCCAACAGGCTTACCACAAGGCTATGTCACACCTCTACACCTTCACCTATGCAGTTCCCTTGACCTAGAATACCTCTTCTTCTTCATCTGACTAAATCCTAACCCATGTTCAAGTCTCTGTTCAGGAGTCTACCCCTGCCAACTCTGATGGCCACCATGGTTGAGGCCATCTCTGCTTCTAAACTACCCTGGACATAACCTCCATCCCTAGATCCTCCACATTATATCAAAATTACCTACTTAAGTGTTTTTCCTGAAGATTTCTCAAAAGCAGTAGCTTCATCCCAGCCTCTGGTACACAGAACATGCTCAAGACAGGTTCTGATAGACTGAAATACTCACTTTTTTGGATTCTTATGAAACTATCCATTCCCAGTCTGGTAGAAACCAATTTCCCCAATGCACATTCTTTCCCTGAAATTGTTAACCATCTCCTAGAGCAGAGCTATAGGTTGTTTCAAGCAAAATGTACTTGAGTTCAGACGCAAGGCGTTCTTGCCTATGCAAAAGAAGTTAAAACCCCAGTCAGAGAAGAAGGGCTTTCTAAAAATTCTATAAAGCCACCTACTATAAACTGTATTTTGTCCCTAGCTAGGGTGGGGGTAGGTGGGGACAGACGGTGGTTGCTTATTTACAATCTCTTGGCCCAGGCACTGCTGCCCCGCAAGCCTATGCTCTGATGGTCACAATTTCCACTCAAAACTCTGACGGCCTCAGAGGGCACCTGGGCCGCTGGTGAGCAGGCCTGGCTCGAGGATGCAGGCGCTCTGGCCCTAATGGTGGTCACCTTCTCCAGGGCAGCTCCTCTTCTTCCAGGTCGTTCTCTGTTACCGACCCCTCTATCACGGTTTCATCACTGTCCCAGTCTGGGGCCTGCGCGCCTTCCTCCATCTTTGCCTCACATTAGGAGTCTTCTTTACCCTCCTTGTCTAACTCCCCTTTTGCTTCGAACAAAAGGTCGCTTTGAGGGCCAGGGGAAATGCGAGTTTAAAAATAAGAACAATAAAATTCGTAGCAGAAGGCCGGCCTCATAAAGGTTGCTGAGGAGGACGCCGCGGGGCCTGAAACGCTCCCCGGTTGCAGCCTGGAAGGGAGCACAGCTCCGCGGTCTGGCTGCGCTCCGCCAGCAGGGGGCAGCCGCGCGCCGCACGTCGGACCCGCACGCGGCGTGAGGCGCCCTCCCCCCCATCCCCCGCCGGAAGTGGTTGGCAGCGAGCGCTGGCGGGCTCTGGGTTTCCGGCCGCCTCAGGCGTGGCCTTACGAAGCTTGCGTTTTCTCTCTTAGTTTGCTGAGCCTGGAGGGAAGTGGAGTTGCTCCTGCTAGGACTAGAAAGGCAGCCGTGTGGCGACAGACCTCAGGCCGAGCCTGCCCAGCAGCACTGGCAGGAAGAGAGATCTGGACCACGTACCCTGCGGTGCACCTGGAAAGAGCTGTGGGCTCCTGCTTGCCCCAGCAGCCCCGGCTGTCAGTCCTGCGGCGTTCTGAAGTCAGAATGTGGCCTTAGACCCAAAGAATGTTTTTACGGTCCACCAAGCGCTTCCTTTCCCTTTAATCCCTTTGACACTCTGTCATCAAATGTCCCCTAGGTAGGCAAAACAAATATGTTTATCAGAAGTTTTTAGGTCATTAACCTAATTTATGTATTTTGTATTTGTGTTGTTTCCCTCATGAATTATTTGGTTGCCCTGATTGTGCAGGAAAGGCAGGATAAATGCTTTATTTTTCCCCTTTATCAATTTTTAGATAATAGTGGTGCCTAGTAACCTCCAAAAGTAGTCAGTTATTATTTTTTAATGACGTACTATAATTTTACATATGTGATGTGTTTCAATCAGTCTGTTTGTAAGTTTCTATTTCACACTACTTCAGACAAAGCTAAGTGAGCTTCCACTTGCCAAGTGAGAAGATTCAGGACAAGATTGGGGTCCTTTCCTGAGGCAAGTGTTTGGTATTCACCTTGGATTCACCAGAGTGCTAGCACACAAGAAGTCTTTAAAGTTTGGTGCGTTAAATGGATGGAGCTAAAGTTTTCTGACTCTCCCAATTCATTGCCTTTTTCAGTACATGGAGTGTCTTTGCCATTATTATTTAATATTACTGTCTTCTTATGTTTTTACTATTTATATTTAAGCCACTGCTGTTTAAAACACCAGTGGTTGTTTTTTAAACTTCCTCAAATATTCCTCACCTCAGCTCTAAATTAGGCAGCACAGTAATAAGTATGCAAATAACTAGATCTCTTTTTTTTTTTCACACCTGTCCACCCATATCCCTCGTGTTCAAATCAGACCTAAATTCCTGTCTACTCTCCTACTCACACACTCTTTTGATCATCCAGCTCTACTTTCACAGCAGTTGGGGGTGCATACCCAGGAAGGGATGGTGCATGTCTCCAGGTGCCCTGCGCCAAGGTGGTTACTTTCCACTAGTAAAAGCACTTTCTCCAAGCAGTTGGTAATTTAAGCTAAGTACAGTAAGCCCTCGATTAGATTAACATTGTGCATAGGTCCTTGGAATGTGCAACTTCAATCAAAACAATGTTTAAGGAAACCAATTTTACCATAGGCTAATTGATATACACAAGAATTAAGTTTCTACAGCATATTTCTGGTCACAAAAACATCACCAAACTTCTAAATAAAGACCAAAACACTTCCCATATTAAATATTGAAATAAATGTGAGATATACATTTAAGAAAGATTAAATAAAAACAAAACAAAATAATGACTCAATTATTTCAGTCCAGGATGATAGATGGGTGGCTGGAGCCTGTCCTGGCGGCTCAGGGCACAAGGCAGGAACCAGCTCTGGACAAGAGGCCAGTCCATGGCAGGGCATTCTCACACATACCGAAGATGTGCACATCTTTAGGATGTGGGAGGAAACTGGAGTACCTGGAGAAAAAAACCATGCAGACAAGGAGAAAATGTGCAAACTCCACACAAAACAGTAATCCCAGGCAGGGAAGCCATTTTTTTTTTCTCTCATCAATGTTATAATGAAACATTATTTGAGGACCTGCTGTAGAGAAAACTTCTGGGCCTGAAATTCAAATTCCTTATTAAAATGCTTTCTCTTTTAATGGAAAAAAGTTATTTTTGCATCTTCTTTTTTTTTTTGAGACAGAGTCTCACTCTGTTGCCTGGGCTAGAGTGCCATGGCATCAGCCTAGCTCACAGCAGCCTCAAACTCCTGGGCTCAAGTGATCTTTTGTCTCAGCCTCCTGAGTAGCTGGGACTATAGGCACGCATCACTGTGCCTGGCTAATTTTTCCTTGTTTTTTTTTTTTTTTTTTTTTAGTTGTTTGGCTAATTTCTTTCTATTTATAGTGGAGATGGGGTCTCACTCTTGCTCAGGCTGGTCTCAAACTCCTGAGCTCAAGCAATCCTCCCGGCTCAGCCTCCCAAAGTGCTAGGATTACAGGCATGAGCCACTGCACCAGACCGTATCTTCTTTTATTTAAGAGAGTTGCTAAGATTCAAAGCATAAAGGAATGGCAGAGATGAGCCTCATAAATGCCAGTGTGATTTTAAAGAAAGTTTTATTTATTTTTTTATAAAATCCAAAGTTTCAGTGCAGGACAGAGGTAGAAGAATGGACAGATCTGTGTTAAGAATTTAGTCTGCAGTGCAATTCAAACTGGTTTAAGCACGGTAAGCTGACTCAGGTAACTAAACCATCTAGGGGTATTTAGACACTTTAAGTATGACAGGAATCAGATACTCAGTGTTTGAAAGAAAACAAAACTCAGCTTTCTTTTGAAATAGATTAAGATATATCAAACATACAAAAATCTGGCCGGGTGCAGTGGCTCATGCCTGCAATCCTAGCACTCTGGGAGGCTGAGGCAGATGGATTGCTCAAGGTCAGGAGTTTGAAACCAGCCTGAGTGAGAGCAAGACCCTGTCTCTACTAAAAATAGAAAGAAATTAATTGACCAACTAAAAAATATAGAAAAAATTAGCTGGGCATTGTGGCACATGCCTGTTATCCCAGCTACTCCGGAGGCTGAGGCAGAAGGATTGCTTGAGCCCAGGAGTTTGAGGTTGCTATGAGCTAGGCTGATGCCCTGGCACTCTACCCCAGGCAACAGAATGATACTGTGTCTCAAAAAAACAACAAAAACAAAACTGTTATGTGAATTAACAAATGAATGGGAATAAATAGGTAGCTGAAAAAAATCAGGATACGTGAAATCCTTTCTCAAAAACTGCAAAATGTTGGAGCACACAAAAGTAGCTTTACACCTGATTAGGTGTTGACTCATTACCTAAATTTGCTTTTTAGTGATCATTATAGTTGATTCATACATGTAGAAATATACCAGCCACAACTCTTACAGGTTATGTCCCTTGTTAGTACAGAATTTAAGAGAGAAGTTCACTTTTACTTTAAAATGGGATAAAATAGATTTGAAAACACTTCAAGAAGTTAAAAGTACTATGAAATTTAAGATAATAGCCTGTAATATCATTAATATTTCATGATAAAAACCTCTGAAGAATAGCTAATGGCATCTGTTATTCCGGCATTGATAAAAAGATAAAATGTAGCCCATGAAATCTGCAGAGGATGACTGCAAAAACATTTGGCATTTAAAAAACGAGAAATCAGAGAACTAGCCACACCTAGGGGTAAATTATAACAGCCCTCCCAACTCATTACCCCAGGGTGCCTGCAAGATGTTGCTATTCTACATGGTCTCTGCTATTACAGTTATTCATTGTTTAGTCTATTAAACTGTAAATAATATATTTCTTTAGAAGCAGAAATGCAAAGTGTCCTAGATAAGGGGCAACAGTTTATATACAGATCATCTGTCTCAGAAGAAATATAATATTTTATAATTTATGATGATGTAAAATAATAATACTATTAGAAAACATATTAAACCACTATTATGTATCATCTGGGTTTTGCAAAGATTCTTAGATTATTTTCCCTCTATAAATACAATATAATGTTGATATCAAACATTGGCAATCAGCTAGGCATGGTGGATCATACCTGTAATCCCAGCAATTTGGGAGGCCAAGGCAGGAGGATGGCTTAAGGCCAAGAGTTCAAGAGCAGTCTGGGCAACATAGTGAGATCCCATTTAAAAAAAAAAAGACAACAAATTAGCTGGGCATGGTGGCACATACCTGTAGTCTCAGCTATTCAAGAGGCTGCGGCAAGAGAATCACTTGAGTTCAGGAATTTGGGGCTGCCACTACATTCCAGCTTGGGTGACAGAGTGAGACCCCAGCTCTTAAAAAAAAAAAAAAAAGCAATCAAAGTAACATAATGCTATGACAGACTGCTAAAAAATTAGAGACTCAAATGCAACAACCTAGTGAAGATGACAGTGATTTTGGATAACCAGTTTAGCAAGTTGAACAGATTCCTCCTCCTCTGCTTGTCCAGGCAAATAACACTCGCTGATAGCCCAAATGATAAGAATTGTGTATTTCTATGTCTTTCCACCTCTCTTCCTCCCCACATCTGGTCTTTTCTCTGTAATAGTAACTGATTAAAATACTGGCTTTTTGAAGATGCTTAACCTAACTTATAATTAATGAAATGTCCATTAAAATAGCCAATGACATGTTTGTTGGTTTATTTTATCTATTAGCTTGGCAAAGATTTTTTTAAAAGATTAGTAATGTTCAATACTGGCAATGATGTGGGGAAAATAGGTGCTCTCATATACTCCTGGAGGAAGAGTAGATTGGTTCAGTCTTTTTATGGAGAGCAGTTCGGCAACATCTAGCAAAATGTTTCATAGGTACATACCCTTAGAGATGGCCTTTCTACTTTTAGGAATTTGTTCCTATCTTACCAATATAGTTGCAACAACTAAAGTTATGTAAGTCTAGAAACAACCTAAATGTCCATCAATGTCCATCAAGTACAGTGGAATACTTTGTTGTCATTAAAAAGAATGAAATACAGCTTTACACTCAGACATGTATAACTGCCCATGTCACATTGTTTACAGAATAAAGCAAAGAACAGAACAATAATGACAGCTCTGAAATTTCATAGAAGAAAGGCTTAAGGGTGAAATCACCTTGAAAGCTAGGGCTGTGAAACCACCAAAGGTTGCATTTGAATAGGAGTTTTCACTTAGCTTC